CTCCCAGCAGCCCCAGCTCCCCCCTCCGGGGCCGCCTCCCCCCCGCCCGCGGCTATTAATAACGACGGGGGAAGCGGAGCGCTGCGTTTGGCTGCTCGGCTGTGGGATGGGCCCGTGGGGACCGCGGGGATGCAGCGGAGCGGGACCTGGATGAGCCCCACATAGGATTTGGGGAAGGGCTGCTGTGGGGTCGCTGGGGACGATTGAGGTTCAACTCAGTGTTTTCCCGTGCTCAGCCCCATGTTAAGGAGCTGTTGTGCTGGCTGAGCTGCGTGGAGTGGTGACACTCTGAGTGTCCCTTGGGCTGCGTGGGGTCCTGGTGGCTGGCACAGAGCCCTCGCAGCCAGGCTGTGTGCAGGGCTGCTTGCAGGATGTCCTGGGATGCCTGCAGGATGTTCATGACAGGGCTGGATGTGAGGACAGAGGGTAGCATGGGGACAGGGCTGGCCATGGGGACGAGGGTGGCCATAGGGCAGGGTGGCCATAGGGTCGGAAATGGCCATGGGGACAAGAGCAGCTGTAGGGACGGGGCAGGCCATGGGCACAGAGTGGTCGTGGGAGAGTGGCGTTCCCCGGGCACAAGGATGCCCAAGAATCTCCTTGGGTTTTCTGCCAGGTTTCTTGGATCCTAACCCTAACACAGATCCTGTGTGCACCCCGCTGGCTGCTGTCCCCACGTCCCTGCTGTAGCACCTGGGGAAGGGACAGGATCCCATTGATGCAGCTTGCTGCTCACTGCTCACTGCTCGCTGCTCACTCCTGCTGCTTCAGGATTAAATGGCGAAAACCACTGCTGTGTGCTGTGGGGACAGAAGCTGAGAGTGACCCCAGCATCCCCCCTACCCACGATTTCTATAGCAGTGCCTCACAGAAACTGTTTCCACAGTGCAGGAAAACAGAAAGGCGATGGATGCCAGAGGCTTTAATAGTTTATTTGTCCATAAGCAAACAGAGCAGTGATGCTCCCGGCTGGCTCGGTGCTGACACCCAGTGCTCTCCTCCTAGAAGGGCCCCACAACCCCCATTTGTGCCGGGAGGAGGAATGGGGTGGCCAAACTCTTCAAAGAGTCACAGAAATTCCCATGGTGAGAGCAGCAGTTGGAGCAAAGCGCATTGCAAAGGTGCTGCAGCGCTTCTCCATGTGCTTCCCATGTCCTTTGGATGGGGACAGGGATGGTGTCGCCCTGCTCGTGTCTGGAGGGGGCTGTGGGGCTGCTCCCCCGGCGCAGGGGGCTGCTGTGATGTGGAGTGCATGGGTAAAACCCCCCTTCCCCCCCCATTGTTGTGAACCCATGCATGTGCCATAAGTGCTGAGCCCTGCAGGACCCCAATGTACACAGGATCCAGTGGGGAACATCTCTGGGATGGGTATCCATGGCCTGCAGCACGGTCAGACCCACACCAGCCCCATCCCACCCAGCTGCAGAGAGTGGCAGAGGGAAGAAGAGCAAAATAAGGGAGCCACCCCCTGCCCGAGCCCCGGGGCATTGCTTTGGACATTGCAAATTAGATTTTCTGAAAAGGAAATGTTTTACAGGCCATAAATTGTCTCAAAAGAAAGGGGGAGGTTGGGGTAAGGGGGTGGTGGGGGAGAAAATTGTGCAATTTTTCTGCAGCTGGAAAGCAGGGGCAGCACGGGGGGGCTGCTGCGCTAGGTGCCCGCGTCCTGCTCTGTCCTCTGCTTCTTCTGCCGCTTTTTGCCTTTGTTTCTGAGTTTGGTTTTCTCTGGAAGAGAAAAAAAAAAAAAAGGAGAAATAGAGGGGTTTCTCATTGGGAATGGGCAGCAGGGGCCCTTCTGTAGATGGGTGACTGCTGCCATCTGGATCCTTCCTGAGGCCCATCAGTGGGACGGGGGGGATGCAGGGCTGTCCCTGGAGCAGCGCTGGGTGTGTGGGCACAGGGACCAATTGCTGGACCCCAAATCCTCAGTGTCCCCAGAGCCTCTAGCTTTGCACGATGGGGTCAAAGCAGTGAACCTTGCCTCTGTGCAAGGAGTGAGGAGGTGAGAGCAGGTTGGTGGGACATGAATGGGACACAGGTGGGACACGGGTACATCCATGCCTCCCCAAATGCCTCTCCAGCTCCCAGCAGGTCGGTGGGGACAGTGCTGAGACCCCAAAGCAAAGCAGGACACAGAACGAGACCTGCAGGATCCAATGGAGCAGGGAACATTTGGGAGCTGCCCAAAATCCAGGTGGATTCACCGGGCCGTGCGGGCACCCAAAGCACGAGCGGCACAGCGGTGCATTCCAGCACTGGTGACGCTGCTTCTTTCTGAGGGCTCCATCTCTTTTCCTACTCAGCTCTGTTTTTCTGCTCTGATCTCCCAGACAATTGCCACCCACAAAGGAAAGGGCACGGCACGGATGCCAAGCGTCTGGAAAGGAGCGCGGCGGGGACACAAGGCAGATTTACAGTGGCGTGGATGGTTTTGTGCCCGGGCCAAGCGCCGACGCTGCTCGCTTCCAGAGGCCGGCTCAGAAGTGGTAGCACAAATCTCTCATCGCACAGCGCGGGGCTGGGATGAGGCAGTGCCTTCCTCCAGCTCTCGGCGCGTCCAGCGAACCCGCTGTCCCATAACATCTGGATCCCATAAGGCAGCAGTCGGCTGGCTGGGACAGGAGCCTGGGAGCGAGGGTGGGTGCGTAGGGATGGGGAGCAGAGGGGCTTCTCCTGCTGCTGGGGCTGCACGCAGCTGCACCGGGGGGCTTTCTTCTGTTTCAGGGAGAGACCCACAGCTGATCCCCATCAGCACCGGGCTGTGCCCCAGAGCCCATCCCTGCAGCTTTGGAGCTCAGGTCAGGTCACCCCATGAGATGTGGTGTATCCAAATCTATGGCCCCACAAGGGGACGGTGGTGGAGGCACCGAGCTGAGCGCACACACCTCCAGCACTTGCATGGCACCGTGCTCCAGAGCAGAATATTCCACTGCCACCAGCCTCGAGGGGCCACGGGAAGTGCAGCCACATTTCCCCGCATCATCACCACTTGGCACCCCAAAGCTGCCTTAGCAGGGCAGGATATCAACTCCACGCTGTCAGCACGAAGCGTTATTTATGACTGATGGTGCTCTGATGAAGATGCACTCCTGGCTCTGCAGCCCCAGCACACCTGGCTGCAGCTATTCCCATCTTCCTCCAGCCCTTCCCTCCTGCTGCCACCGCCTCACAATGATGCACAGCAAACCTGCAGCTCCAATATCTGCAACGCCAGGGCCGGTGGCTCAGATCTCCTTCCAAGGCTCACAGATTGGTATCTCATGCAATCTGCCTTTCTGCCAGTTATTAAGCAGAGATTTATTAGAGCAGCTTTCAGTCCAGCTGGTTGCATCCAAAAGTGACATCAGCCACCTCCCGGTTCCCATTGCCATCCCAGTTGCCACTGGGCTGGGTGCTGGGAGAGGTGGTGAGGAGCCCTGGGATGGGGGCTGGATAAAATCAGGGAGACCACCGGGCAGGGCAGGACGATGCCTTATCCCAAGGACACATCTCAGAGCAGGATGAGGACTTGGCTGTCTCAGCTCCCCCAGGTGATGCCCTCCAGCTGTCTCTGCATTCCTGGTATTTTGCAGATGGTTGCAGGGTTTTTTTGCAGACTTTTGCAGGTAATTCCCCCCTCCCCAACAGCTCAACCCTCCCCGTTTGCAATTGCAAAGCAGAAAGCCTCAGCGCTGCCTCTCCCTCGCAGGCAGGGCAGGATGGGGCCGATGCCAGGGGCTGCTCAGCACATGTGCTTGGGAAGGCGGCTTTCTCCAGAACTGCACGGTAATAACAGCCGCCACCGACCTCCAAATGCTTGGGAGATGAGATCCCGGCTCGCCGCTCACCGCCGGAGCCCACAGCGCTCCTTGCTTTTAGGGACCGGGGGGCTGCGCGGGGCCGGGGGGGCTGCGGGGGGGCATCCGGGGCTGCGCTCACCTCCCGGGCAGTGCTTCCTCAGGCGGCACCTGCGGCTCTCCAGCAGCGCGGGGCACGCAGCCCCCTCCTCCCGTGGGGAGCCCGGCACCTCGCGCACCCGCGTCTCCAGACCCCATTTGCAGCCGCAGCTCCGGCCCTCGTGAGTGCAGGCGCTCCACTCGCTCCAGGGCCCCGGCTCGCATGTTTCTGTAGGACGGGGGCGCGGGGAGGGGACGGTGACCATGCTGCGTTGGCACGGGGCGCGGGGTGCGCGGGGCGAGGGTGCCGCTTACCTTGGCACTCGCGGGTGCCGGGCTGAGCCGCGGTGCTGGGGGGGCACTGCCGGAAGCATTGGCCTTTGTGCAGGTAGAACTTCTCCTTGCATTTCATGCAGAAGTCTTTGCTGAAGCAGCTCTCGCAGCTGGGCGACCTGCACTCTGCCGGGGAGGGGGCTGTGAGCGGGAGGGCGAGCGCGGGGCCGAAAACCCCGGGGACCCATTGCAAACCCATTAGGTAAGGGAGAGGGGGAAATCCTTGCATCCCAGCCGCCTCATCTCCAGCCAGTGCCCAGGACTTGACGTCCTGGGGGTGCTCCGGGAAGCGGGGGGACCCCGGGGTGCCCACAGGCAGAGCAGCTCTGCTGGCTACACCACGTACTTGTGCATCTGTTGACCTCCAGACCCCGCACGCCGAAGTAGCCGGGGGGGGCAGGTGTGGACGCACACCCCGTACTGGCGGATGCCGTCCCTCCAGATGAGCAGGAAGAGCCGGTGGTGGCAGGTGATGCAGCCGTTCTCCTCCGAGCACAGGACGCAGCCCGTGCAGTTCTCCAAGAGGCCGGCGCTCACTGTGGGGACAAGGATAGGGGCTGTGTGTGTGGGGGGGAGGTGGGAACAGCAATGGCACCTTCAGCACATCCCAATGGGGGGTTGGCAGGTAGAAATGTGTTCTGATACGTGTCAAGGGAACAAAAGGGTTTTGGAAATATCTGAGTGCAGCTGCAATAAGGATCCGTCTGCTGGCTCCAGAGCTGCCACCGCTTTCCTCTGCCCCACTGCTGTGATTTACAGAGGCAAAGCAGCCCTGGGGGGCTCTGCTCCCAGGGACGAGGACATGGGCACATGGATGGGGTGCACTCCATAACAGTTGGGCATCTCCAAACCGGGCCCTCCCCAGCTTCTCCATGCACACAGCCAGGTGCCTCTGTTGCGCCCGGTGCTATTGGGAACATTCTCTTCTAGCTTGGAGCTCACCCTTCGTGCCTCTGAGCAGAAGTGCCTGCTGAGCAGTGGCAGCAGTGCCAGAACAGAGCAGTGAGTGCACAGCACCCAGGTCCATCCGCTCACAGCAGGTCTGACAGCGTGGAGATGGGATTTTCCACATAGTAAAGCCCTGAGGAGGAGGCAACCCTGGGCACATGGAGTGGGGCCAGATCTCCATATTGGCACACAAAAAATTCACTTGGGTAGTGGCACAGGTGGCAGTGCCATTGTCATCATGGTCCCACAGCCCTCCAGGGAAGCAAGAGAGGGAGCACAGGACTGGGGGAGCAGTGAGGAGATGCAGGCAGAGGGTGCCCTGCAGCCCAACAGACCCGCAGCTCTACAGCTCAGGGGTAAAGGATGCACTGCAGTGGTGCCACGCAGCTGTCCCTGAGCTGCCCCCTCCTGCTCCTCGTGCCAGGGCACAGGGATTCAGGCAGCAGCATTTTGTGGCCAGGAGGCTGCGTGTGCTGGGAGCCCGCTAACGAAGCACCTTGGATCCATTAAGTTGTTATGGTCTCTGTTACATATTTACCAAACGCTGACAACATTTGTGTTCCTGGCTGCAGCCAGAGCGGCTTCCCAGGAGACGTGGGGATTTACGAGTGCCTTTCCCTTCCCTAGTTCTTTGGGATGATTTTCTTTGCCGCCCTCCCTCCATCTCCTGGTAGGCACGGAAGGTGGGGAGCCGATACCAGGACAGGATGGGATGTGATGAGTCGATATTATGATGCCCACCTTTAAAAACAGCTCTGCCTGCACATCGGAATGGGATTCCATAACACTGGGAATGGGGAAATCAGGGGCAGCTCTTGGGTACCCCTCCCCAGGTGCTGTAGATGCAGATGGGGTTGCACTGGAGGAGGGACCCCACCTGCGTGCATGGAGCTGTGCTCAGACCCATGGATGCTCCCTCGCACCCCCCGTAGTGCCAGCTCACACTGCCAGCTTTTGGGGCTGTCCCCACACTGAGTGCATCGGCAGCAGCCTTGCCACCCCCATGGACACATCTTACAACCACGTACAACGCAGGGAAAACTGTCCATTTGTAATCCAAGGCCTCCAAAAAGCCCTGCTCTCACAATATCCCATCCTCATCCCGGCACAAATTGAGCACCTCGTGTCACAGCCCCGCGGTGGCACTGCCCAGCAGAGGGGACACATCTCAGGACACCCTGCTCTGCGCCCTGGATCTGTCTGCTCAGGGGAAGGATGGGGCAGGGGATGGTGGTGTCTCCGAGCATCCTTCCAGGATGTTTTGCTCCTCTTGCATCTCCTGCATCAAGCTGAGAGCAGAAACACTGGCAAACCCGATTCCCTGCCCGCACCGCACCCACCCTACCTTGCTTTTTCCATCGGTTCTGCGAGAGCATTTCCATGGAGCTGATGAATAACAGCAACATGAATATTATCCACTGCATCTGGGCAGGAGGAGTGGAGGGCAGGGAGGAACTCAGACCATCCGAGCGGAGCTCACAGCATCGCCCCGGGCACGGCACAGCGCTACGGGGGCATGGGGCGCTCAGCGCAGGGCAGCGCCAGCGGGCTCTGCCTTTAAGACCACCGGCAGCCCCTCGCTTTTCCCCCTCCGGAGAAATGGGGAGAAGGGAAAATAATCCCCGGAGACACCGGCAGGAGTGGGGACGGACGCGCTGCGGAGCCCCGGCCCGGATCCGAGCGTCCCGCCGTCCCGCCGCCGTCCGTCTGTCCCGCTGCCATCCCGGCCCGGCGGGGGCACGGCGAAGCCCCCGGCTCTGGGGGGCGGGGACAGCAGGGTGGCTCCGCCCCGGGACGGCCTCGATCCAGTCCCGGTCGGGGGCGAGGGCGCGGGGTCCTGCGGCTGCATCGGATGTGCCGAGCCGTGCCATGCCGGGCCGTGCCAAGCCATGCCGAGGCCTGCCATGCCGAGCCAAGCAGCGCTGCGCCTTGCCAAGGCGAGTCAAGCCGAGCTGAGCTGGACCGATCTGAGCTGAGTGAAGCCATGCTGAGCTGAGCTGAGCTGAGCTGAGCTGAACTGAACTGAACTGCACTGAGGTTTTCTGAGCAGAGCCAAGCTGAAGAGAGTCGTGTTGAGCTGAGCTGGGAGCAGATGAGTGGAACTGGGTCTTGTTAAGCTGAGCTGTGCTGAGCTGAAGTGAGCTGAGCTGGGCAGAACTGAGCCAAACCAAGCCAACCTAGCTGAGCCAAGCTGAGCTGCAGCTCCCAGCACCTGGCTTCCAAACAGCTGCCTGCACCCCTCACCCTGTGTACGACCCAGGGGTTTCAGCACACTCAAAGGGAGCCCTGGGCCCACACTGAACATCAGCAAGGGCAAGGCTTGTGTGCAGGATGCTCTGATCTATGTGTGGGTAGCTTGGCAGTAGTTTCCCACCACAGGTACAAGACCTTCAGGCCAGAACCCTGAGTGCAGGCTGCCCCTTACCCAAAGAATGGGCTTGGGATGTTCTGGGCCTGCTTTACCTTGTGAAGGCACAGGTCGGGCTGGGGGACCACTGAGCACCTGCAGACTCACTGCAGGAGAAAGCACTGCGGTGGATGCATCCATCAGTGTCACCCCAGTTCTGGGCAGACCTGGGGACAACTGGGGACAGGGAGAGGGAGAGAGGGAGGGAGGTGGCACTGCCCCCACTGCATGTTGGGGTTGCTGTCCTCACTGCCTCCATTCCCCACTTGGATTTCTCCCTCTTGCTCCCCCAGCCCTCCCCAGGTCTCTCTGCCTCCCCCATCCCACACATGAGCGTTTCATTCCCAAGGAGTTACGATTCAAAAAACAAAGGAACTGCTTCAGACCCCTTTGGAAACCAGGAGTAACCATGGTTGGGATTGCTTTCGTTTTTTTTTTTTTTCTTATGCCATTGTGACATAAATTGAAAAGTTACCCATAAAACACAGGTTTTCAGCATCTGGCGCAGCACTGCTTTCCACAAACAAGGCGCCTGCAGGAACAGGGCACAGCCCTGTGCACAGCCTCATCCCACGGCACAGCCACGTCCTGTTCCCTTGTTGTGGATCCGTGGGGACTGGCAGGGCCCTGTGTGTGCATAGCAGTGTGTGGCAGAGCAGTGTGGGATCAGGAGGGTCTGTGTTTGTCCATGAAAATGCATTTGACATGTTAAAGTCCCCCACCAGCAGCCTGCCCCTACCTCACTCTCCCCAGCCCTTTGTCCCTTATAAATGGAGCTGCTGCTGCCCCAGGAGCAACTTCGCCACCCTGCTCCAGTTATTGCTGCCCTGATCGCAGCATCACCGCTCCCAGCATCACCGCCCTGCTCCTGGCACCACGCTGCATCTGAGGCCAACCCCCGTGCCAACACACGCTCATTGGGTGGCTCTTGTTAGCACTGTGTCCCTGGGGCCAACACACAGCGGGTCTCCCAGCTCATCCCTCAAGCTGTACAATGCCCATGGAGGCTTTGCCAATGACAGTGATGACACCATTCCCATTTGCTGTGCCATTTGCTGTTAACGAGCCCGATGGGTGATGAGTGCTTGCACAGGAGCGGATCAATCCCGTTCACTTCCCTTAACGTGGTCATTTATGACTACTCCTCCTAAAATTGCAGTGGGAAGGGATGATTTGCCGTCCGCTCATTAATCAGGCGCCTGTTACCTCTTTGTTCTCGGCGGCGTTTCGGGGCGAGGTGCCCGGCTGGGGCCACGGCCAGGGGCTGTGCTGACTCACGGACGGCACCGGAGCGCACAGAGCGGAGCCCGCGGGCGCCCTGGCAGCTCCCTGCTCCCTCCCGCAGCTCCACACCGTGCCAGCATTGGGGGGAATGTAATGTTCCTCCTGTGTCTTCCAAAGCACCGGAGAGAAAACGTCCGGAGAGATAATTCAGAAAGTTTGTTTGACACTTGAATGTGCTTTCATCTCTGGGAAATGTTGGGGGCCTTCCAAGGCTGCACCGCCCAGGGGCACCACGCTGCGATGGGTGATTTGGGGATGGGTCCAGAGGGGACCTGCAGGGATGGAGGGATGCGGTGGGATGGAGGGAGCCCACTGGGATGGAGGGGGCCCAGTGCTCCCTGTGGGTGAGGCACTGATTCCTCCCAGGTCTGAGCCCTGCGTGCCGTGCTGGCAGGGAGGGGCGGCTTTCCGAAGGCATCGTGCATCCAAAGCGATGAATATGGGTTTGATCAGGGGAGGATTTCGACGGATGGTAGTGGATAAGGAAGAAAAATATTTGGCATTCTTCTCCCATCATAACAAGCCCAGATGCTTGGACGGTGGCAGCCCACTTCCCACAGGAATGGAAATTCACAGCCGCTCCCCACGCCAGCTCTGCAGAGGCCCTTTCCCCGGCGTTTACGAAGTGACGGCCCCACCTCATACCAGGCGGGGCATCCTGCATCCTCCATCCACATCCCCTGCATTGCTGGTGTAATCCCATAGCACAGCCTCATCCCACGGCACAGCCACGTCCTGTGTTCATCCCATGGCGCTGCTGGCCTCGTCCCATGGCGTGGCCACATCCTGCACTCTGCCAGCCTCATCCCGGCCTCCTCCTGGCCTCTCCCATGTGTCCCATAGCCCCGTGCTGGGGAGGATGAGCTCTGTGGCCCGTGGGCAATGCACTGGAAGCATTGATCTGCAGGTTAATCATCCTTGCACCAGCTGAGAGCATGGAGCATCCTACAGCATCCCTACAGCAAGCTGTTCTCCACCTCCTCCTGCCATGCCCTGGTCTGTGCCAGCTCCCCTTTGTGCCTCCTAGGGGTTCCTCTGAGGATACAGAGCTGCTGGGCATGGAGCACGGAGGCAGCTGTACCAGGGAAGGTTGGCTTTACCCCATCCCCTGCCCTGCCAACATTGCAGCTCCTCCAGCCCTGTCCTGGCTGCTGTGGCAGCTGTGCAGTGGTGGAGCCAAAACAGAAGCACACTCAGAGATGGAATTGGTCTGGAGAAGTGATGAAGGCAGAAAGGGCAGTGGGAGAAGGCAAATAGAGGAGGAAAGTGAAGGAGAGTGAAGAAGTGAGAGGGGAAGTTTGGTGCTGGAACCAAACTCCTCACCCATGCCAGCAGAACAGGTTTCCAAGTGTTTATTTTATCTCCTTTAGCTTAGCCCCTTAGAGGCAGAATATATTGAATGGCTTGACTTTATATAACGGAAATAATTGAAACAATACTCCTGGTTCCCTGCCACAGTTTGTCGTGACGTGAGCCAAGGGTGACAGCCTCCAGGTGGTGGGGACAGCCGCCCTCGGCACTTGTTGGCTGGTGATTGTTGACACATGTCAGCATTGCTTCCAGTTTCCGTACAGCTGTCAGAATGGGAACAATGTGATGGCAGCTGGCAAGGGCCGGGCCGGGGCTGGGCATCACCTGCAGCACTGGGGTTCTGCAGGGAGAGGGGAATTTGGGGCAGCACGGTGGGTGTGGGGATGGGGATGCAGGAGGGATGCGCTGGTTGTGAGTGCAGCGTCAGCCATAGAAAGATAGAGGGAGAGGGATGTGGAGGTTGAGAGCTGCTGGAGGTTGTGTTATTTCCTTAGGAGTGGGAGAGCAGAGAGCTCCCTGGTGCCCAGCATCTCTGCAATAGGTCTGTGCCAAGGGGCCTTCCCATGAGTTCTACCCAACTCCTGTGCTCTCTGCTCGGAAGCCAGGAAGTCACAGAGCTGGTTGGACCAAACAGGAGTAAATGCAATGTTGAGAAGTGCCCCTTGTCCAACTCTACCATGTTTCACTCCATGTTTGCTGAAGATTTGCAGGAAAGGGTGGTGCAGAGCTTAGAAGAAAAATGAAAGCCTGTGGGAGAGTTTCGGGGAACTGCAGCACTGTACAGGAATTGGACAGAGAGCTCTTCCTGCCTTCAGGGCATTCCCCTGGCTGTGCTGCACTGTGGTTTGGGAAAGATTCCCTTGAGATAAAGCAGGGAAATGAGCTGCAGGGTGATGGATGGATTTGCAGAGCTGGGGCAGCTCCCAAAGAGGGGTCTGTGGGGAAACCCGGGGACACGGTGCAGGGCTGTGCCAGGCTGAGGACACCAAAGCATCACTGCAGGCAGTTTTGCTGCTGCAGTTCCCCCAGAGTGAGGCATCCACAACCTCTCTGCTGCTGAGCCACACCATGGAGCATTCCCTTATCTGCTGGGCAGGCTATAGGCAGCCCCTGGCTCTCCCTGCAGTGCAAATTGTATACGTGTTAATGAAAGGGAGCAAGGCAGCGGTACGTTAGCAGCTGGCCCTCTTCTGTTCACTGAAGAATCATTTATGCCAAATTCCAATTGAATTTCTCTTAATATTTCTGCTATTTAAGGAAAGTATTGGGAAAGACAGATGGAAGCATCGGTCAGATGCATGTCCCGGCTCCATGTGATTCAGCACTCAGAAGTCCTCTCCTTTTTCAAATAATTGCAATGTGACTACGTCGCTCCCTCTCACCCTTCATTCCCAAGAGGGTCAACCCTCTGACTGCAGCCGATGACTCTCACCAGGAGGAATTCAGCAGAAGACAAAGGCTCTGGGCAGGAGCTCCTGGGTGGTGGCATTCCCCTGGCAGCCTCAGTGCCCAGAGGGATGTGGCTGCAGCTGCAGCGTTCGTGGTCCCCCCTTGCCTCCGCTCGCCCTCACCGTCCAGGTCATGTGCTGGTGGCCAAGGGCTTGGCACAGAGCTGGGGATGGTGGTTCTGCTCCTTGGGTGGCCAAGGAGAAAGCAAAACCC